AAGACTCGCCCAGCCAAAACCGACTTCTGCACATGGGCCACGAAGTTTCAATCACACTGTATGTGTGCGCCCGCACGTGGTATTTTGTGGAAGAGCCACACTCAAGGGGCCAAAGAGCCGCATGTGGCTCGAGAGCCACAGTTTGCCGACAACGGCACTAGGAGATAGATCTACACTCAGAAATGTAGATGCAGCCCTCTGTGGCACTCCCACAGAACCCTTGGCTCAATTGAACAGGCAGATGTTGTGGAGATCCCCTTCCCGCACTGGTGCTCGGGGCTGGGGAGCCCAGTGTGCCGTAGTTCACTTGCGCAAAGAGGGAACTTTTCAGTCAAGTTATTGCGCCCAACTCTCAACTGTCCGAGTTCTGCCCCTCTGATCAGCGTCTGTGCGGCCTCACCCTTAGCCTATGAGTCTGCCGCTGGCTCCGAGGGCCTGGTGCTGGCTGCTCTGTCTGAGTGGAGTGCCCGCCGTGGGTGTGGAGGAGGCGGGCGTGGGCTCTGCCGTCAGGAAGCTCCCCTGGCACACAGGCCCCAGGGCACCTGCCACCGGGAGCTCCTCGAGCCCCTCCAGGCCTCATGCTTCCTGCGGCCCTGACATGTTTCCCGAACAGTGGCTGGTGCAGAACTGATGTTGTGACGTCCGTGTGCTGCCTGCTCCTGGGCGCCCGCAGGTGCCCGCTGGCCGCTGTGTGACACCTGAGCGGAGCTGAAGAGCTCTGGGCTGTCTGGACTCTCTCTGGCCTCAGAGCTCACGAGTCTCCTACCCACTCCCGCCATTAGAAAGCAGTGGGTTGCCACACTCAGCACACAGGCGAGAGGACAAAGACGGGACAGGTTTCGCCACTCCTGTGTCTGTCAGACCCGCGGTGGCCCGGCCCCTGCAGTCCTCCCGCGAGTGGCATTGCTGTTGGTCGTTTCCAGGGGCCTCTGCGGAAACCTACCCACCTTACTGTGCGTCAGAGAGCAATGTGGGCATTTGGCCGGTTGCCAAGAATGTCTGTCCGATCGTCTATTCAGGCCCCGGGGAAAGTGACTCCAGCGCAGGCCCTCGGGTCCCTGGGCCACAGGAGTGGGTGCTGGGCCAGCCATCGCCTGTCCCCTGGACCGCGGGCCTCTGGGCCCCGTGGAAGTTGGAGTCGGGAATTAGCACATGTGAGAGCCAGTTTCTATGAACCCTGAGGTGGAGGCATTGCGCTGCCCGTCGCTCTGCACGGACCCGTCTCTGGGGGAGGCGTGGCAGGGACAACAGGCACTGGCGGTGGTGCTGGCTCCTCGCCAAGGGCACAGCCAGTCCCGCAGGAAACGCCCTGGGGCTGAGCTGCTGTTAGAAACTGGCTACTAAGTCAGTTTCCTGGTTACAAGACCTGGTCTTTTTTAATTGCCAATAACAAGTGACGCCCTTTCAAGCCTAGACTGATTCAGTAGCTGCTGCCACGGTCCTTGTGGGTCCGAGTGTTATACTATGGACCGTTTCACACCCCGCCCCCTCCCCCGCTCCCCCCCGCCCGCCCCCG